CTGTAAGAGAGCCTGAGGGTACCGCCGGACAGGGAAGGGTGGTGGAGCTACAGGCAACTACCGGACCGGACGAGGGGTCAGCAAGCCCGACATCGGCAGGGGCGGCAAGTGGCATGAGCGCAGTGTGCTCACGGAAAAAGCAGGCAGACGCTCCAGATTCGAGCGTGAAAGAGAGCAAAGTTGTAGCGTATCTTCGGTGTTGGGGCTAACGTGGAGCCACGGCTAAACAACGCAGAAGGTCCTACGCATGACACAGCAGGGGAGCCTAAACTACACACTGGAGGCACACCTACACTAGGCAACACAGGGTAATAAGATCCGGTCACACTAGAGTCATCAACATACATGGCATAAAACGCAGAGCAAATCTGATCCATGTCAATCTCTAAGACCAGCACACTGCGGCGTACCAGGCCGGGCCAGTCGGGGAGGTCTCGCGCAGGGCCGAAGCGGAGACGAAAGAGGTTGTCGAGGTGGCGGAAGTAGTGGGCGGCAGTGTGACTGGGATGGCCACACAGAGTGTCACGAAAGGGGCCAGTCAGGAGCTGGTACTGACAACCCACAGAGATGAAGGTGCCACCCGATGCCGAGCTGCGAGGGCCGCCATCGCGGCCACCACCACCAGGGGTGCAGGGCCACCCCGGAGGGATACGGCCCCACGGCTGCTGCTGCTGTTGCTGGTGCTGCGACTGCTATTGCTGCGACTGTTGTTGCTACGTCTATTGCTGCTGCTGCTGCGGTTGCTGCGGCTGCGACTGCTACTGCTCCCGGGATCAGCTCTGGTCACCTCGTTGGTACCGTCGGCACTTGCTCCACCACCGCCACCCCTACCACCCCTGCCTCCACCACGCCCCCCCTTGGGGCGGTGGACCTTACCCTGACGAGGCTGTGCGGAGGCCGCCGCAGCGGCGGCCTCAGCAGCAGGGGCGGTCTCAGCAACAGTGGAAGTAACGTCAGAGTAAGTGCACTGGGAGGGAGCACAGTTCTGGAAGGTAGGGATCAGCGCAGTATAACTAGACTGAGTAATAGTGCGCTGGCGGATCTCTATCGCAGAGAGGGTGGTTACAAAGGCAGTAAGGGTGAGGTCACCTGGGTGCTGACTGAGGAAGTGGTCACGACCAGTGGCGAGGTGGTCAGGAAGGCGCATGGCAATGAGGTAAAGGGTAGCACCGAGGGGAGGAGGGAATGCAATGAGGTGGGCCTCAGTACTGGCACCGCGGTAGCTAGTCTCTAGTGCGTGGAGATGAGTGGCAAGATTAGCGCAAGTGGGGAAGGACGCAATATCAAGGAATAGCATGGAGAGGATTAGGCGACTGGCGGAGGCGGAGGAAGCACTGGAATAGCGCGCGATGACTGCATCTAAGTACTCCTTCGCATTAGCGACAGTGGTAAAGCGGGGACGCTCAAACAAGGGGAGAGCGTAGCTAATAGCAAGCTGCGCAACGGCGTCGCGCGACACTTGCACTATGACATTGTGTACAAGCCTGGCTACAAAAACACAGCAGACGCTCTTAGCCGGCCTGCACACGTTGCCATCATCCAGATCAAAGGGATGAATCCACTACTCAAGGGACTCTTCACACACGGGTACACCATCGACCCCGAAATTCCCTTGGTAGAAAAGCGACACCTACTATAGTGGGACAATGACATCGCATACCGGAAAGGATCAACGAAAATATGGGTACCCAAATACCCTCCTTTGCCCCAGTTACTACTCAAAGAATACCACAATGTCCTATACGCGGGACATTTCGGTAGAAACAAGATGCTCATCGGCATCGCAAAGCACTACTACTGGCCCCACGTGGCAACCGATGTACAGAAATTCGTCACCTCGTGTGATACATGTCAGCGGATGAAGAGCAGCAAGCAGAAAAAGCAGGTTTGCTACAACCTCTTCTTGTCCCAGAACAGCCATGGCAAGTGGTTAGCCTGGACATTCTCACCGAGTTACCAACTTCCAAAAACGATCATGACGCAATCCTCGTCGTCATCGAAAAAAACTCCAAAATGGGACACTTCATATCGACACACATGACAGCACGCACCGAGGAGACCGCACAACTATTCGTTCGCTACATCATCTCCCAGCATGACATTCCAACAACACTCATCTCCGACCGAGACCCCAAGTTCACCAGCAAGTTCTGGAAGGAACTAATGTCTCTGCTCGAAACCAAACTCGCCATGTCATATGCCTATCAACCACAGACAGATGGACAGACCAAGCGTCTAAACCAAATTGTAGAGCAACTCCTCCGTGCAGCATGCAAAGACGAGATTACTAAATGGGACTTGCACCTGCCCGTCCTGGATTTTGCTTACAACAACGCTACTCAAGCCGTTACTGGATAGACGCCGTTCTTCCACTGTTATGGACGCAACCCACTTACGCCACAAAAACCAACAGTATCAGCCATTGTCCAGCCCGCACACGACTTCACCACGACCATGCATCAGCTTTGGGATTGGACCCACAAGCGCCTCCTCGGCGTTCAGCAGCAATAGAAGCGCTAGGCCGATTGCCACCGCACTGACCACACCATCACCGTAGGAGACCAGGTACTACTCGACCCTCGCAAACTTGACATCAGCCATCTCCCATCCAAACTACGACCTCGCTTCTGTGGGCCTTTCGTCGTTGAAGCACAGGTCATTTCTGTTACCTTCCGCTTACACCTACCAGCTACCTGGAAGATTCACAACGCCTTCCATGTCCAACTTCTGAAGCCCTACAGAGATCCCAACACGGTCTTCACCGGATGCCAACTGCCGCACCTACCGCCCGCCCTTGTCCACAATGAACCCGAGTATGAGGTCGAGTCCGTGCTTGCACACCGCCATCGTCGGAATAGCATCGTGGAGCTTCTCATCTAGTGAAAGGGTTATGATCCTTCTGAGGATAGCTGTGTCCCTGAATCTGATATGGGTAACGCCCATCGTCCTCTGTGCGACTACCGGGTCAAGCACGGTGTTACTTCTACCACCCAGCTTTGAGGGGGGGAAGTGTGAGAGTACGACCTCGTTACACTTCTTTCTCATTTCCATCTTTCTTCTGTATATCATTCTCCTTTTTATCCTGATTCATTTGATCTTTACCTCATCTTATATGGGTTCCTATTCCTCATTGTCCATTATCCATTGGTTTATCCTTTTATCATCATTATATCACCGACAAGGCAATAGCCAATAGCCTCGCATGGCTATACGCAAAGTGATTCTATAAGGGTCTATTTCTTTTGGATAGGAAAAAACTGGTTACCTGATGCACCTTTGAAGTATAAAAGTGCCTTGTATCGGTTGATAGTGCGACTTTTCCTCGACACATTCGATCCTGTGACATGTTAGCTGGCGGCGAAGGTCAACGAGCCACGCCTCAAAGTCGATCGCCCGACCCTCCGCACCCAGGCGTAGCACAACGTCCGCCATCCCACGACTTCAGCAGCCGATGACGGCACGGCGGCACTGAGGCACGGCGGCACGTCGACACGGCGTCACTGCGGCATGGCGACACGGCGACACGGTGGCACGGTGGCACTGCGGCACGGCGACACAGTGGTACTGCGGCACCACGGCACGGCGGCTCAGCTCAGCACCGCGGCACAGCGGCCCAGCAAGGCGGCACGGCGGGACCGGGGTCGGCGCGAGCGAGACCGTCAAGCGAGCTGGGGGCCGGCAAGCTAGGGGTTGGCTAGCAAGGGGGCCGGCGAGCTGGGGGGCGGCTAGCTAGGGGCCGGCGAGCGAGGGGCTGGCGAGCTCGGGGCCGGCTAACGAGGGGCCAGCGAGCTAGGGGCCAGCGAACTCGGGGCCAGCGAGCTAGGGGCCAGTGAGCTCGGGGGCCGGTCAGCGCGGAGCCAGCGAGCGTGGAGCCGGCGAGCGCAGGGTGGGAAGCGTGGGGCCAGCGGGTGTGAACCAGCGAGCGTGAGGCCGGCGAGCACAGGCCAGCGAGCACGGGCCAGTGAGCGCGGGGCGACGAGGGCGGGCCAGCGAGCGTGGTGCGACGAGGGCAGGCCGACGAGCGCTGGCCAGCAAGCGTGGGGAGACGAGCGGGGCCTACGGGCGCGGGGCGACGAGCGTGGGCCAGCGAGTGTGGGGCGACGGGCGGGGCCTACAAGCGCGGGGCGACGAGCGCGGGCCTACGAGCGCGGGGCCTGTAGTCTAGGGTTAGGGCTAGGACTAGAGCTAAGACTAGGGCTAGGACTAGGGCTAAGGCGGAAGCGCGGGTGGGCGAGGAGGACCTAGCCTAGCGTGATACCATCTCAAGGTAACGAATTGTGCTAGAATAGGTGGTACAGGGTAGTTTTGTGCTAGATGTTGTACTCGCAATAGCATGCACATATCTAGCCTATAACAATATATATCAATATGTTGACACTGGCATGGCTGCTGCGCTCTCAAGGGATGGCACTGACATGGCTGCTGCGCTCTCAAGGGATGGCACTGGCATGGCTGCTGCACTCCCAAGGGATGGCACTGCCATGGCTGCTGCGCTTTCAACGGATGGCACTGGCATGGCTGCTGCGCTTTCAACGGATGGCACTGCCATGGCTGCTGCGCTTTCAACGGATGGCACTGCCATGGCTGCTGCGCTTTCAACGGATGGCACTGCCATGGCTGCTGCGCTTTCAACGGATGGCACTGCCATGGCTGCTGCGCTTTCAACGGATGGCACTGCCATGGCTGCTGCGCTTTCAACGGATGGCACTGCCATGGCTGCTGCGCTTTCAACGGATGGCACTGCCATGGCTGCTGCGCTTTCAACGGATGGCACTGCCATGGCTGCTGCGCTTTCAACGGATGGCACTGCCATGGTTGCTGCGCTTTCAACGGATGGCACTGCCATGGCTGCTGCGCTTTCAACGGATGGCACTGCCATGGCTGCTGCATGATGGCATGCACTCTGACATTGCACTAGATCCATTTGTGGTATCTACTTTCTTTTAGGAAGGCATACAGTACGTGTTTACATAACTAAGATCTGTTGAAGTAGCTCTTGGAATTAACTGTGATGTTTGGTAGTACAACTATTTGAGCTTGGATATTCTGTCATGCAACCAGAATTATCATAGCATGACGGTACATGGAAAATGAATGAATCACCTGTACATATAACACTGAATATAGACACGCCTCATGGCGAGCGTATGGTTATGCGTCCTGTGCTGCTTCTCCACTGCCTCATCTGCTGTGCGCTGCTGTGCACTGTTGTGATTATCCCCGCACTTGCAGCGCCTTCAGTGGTGGGTGCCGCGCATGTCTCGCTTGCAAATGGGGCACACTGCCCGGCGCCTCAGCCACTCGTCAATGCACTGCCATGCGCACACAAGGGAGAGAAGGTGGTCTCGAACGAGTGGTGAACGGAGGAGGGGCGTAAGATGAGGAGAACGGTAAGGTGGACCGGAAGGGTTCGTTCAAAAGCGAGAGTATTCTGAAAAGAAGGGAGGCAATTGGCGACAATGGCATTAGCACACAAGAAGAAATGCAACAGACATGCGTTGAGTGATATTGGGTTGGGCGATGATCAATTTATGTTTCCTGACAGAAGGCGTTGACTTCCGTTGACTCACATCACGGTAGGAGTTGACTTTGGTTGACACACATCGCGGTGGAAGGAGTTGACTTGGGTTGACTCACATCGTGGTGGAAGGAATTGACTTTGGTTGACTCACATCGCAGTGGAAGGAGTAGACTTGGGTTGACTCACATCGTGGTGGAAGGAGTTGACTTGGGTTGACTCACATCGCAGTCGGAGGAGTTGACTTGGGTTGACTCACATCGCGGTGGAAGGAGTGTGCGCAGGGCAGGCGGCGGAGCATCTCCCCCTCCGAGGGCACCTCGATGCAGATGGCACACGGGTCCAGGTCGCTGTCCTGCGGCTGAGAGGGGGCAGAAGGGGGAGAAGGAGAGGCGAAAAGGTGAGATGTGAGACAAACAAGACGGGCCATGGCACACGCGTCCACTTCGCTGTCCTGCGGCTGAGAGAGTGAGAGAGAGGAAACGGTGCGGTGTGAGACAAACAAGACGATTCACTGGCACAGTGGACCAGGTCCTTGTCCAGGGGCTGAGAGAACAAGGAGTGGCATGAGTGGCAGAAAAGAGCAAGGAGTGGCATGCGACAAGGCAGAGAGCTGGTGAGACAAGGGTTAATACCACTGTGGGGCTCACAGTGGGACGTGCAGACGATGCTGACACACAAGTCAAGTACCAGAAAGCATTGTTCGCGCGAACAGCGGGAGATTTTGTGCTGAAGTACCCAGGACTACGCCACGCAGTAACAAGAGAGCAGAGTGGGTACCGTGACGGCAGTGGCGGGCAGGCGGTCGATCTCCTCGGGCGTGGCTCCCAGGCGCACCACGGGCGCCGATATCTCGTCCAGCGCCAGCAGCATCTCGTAGTCCGACCTGCCGCACGCAGCATGTGGCACACAAATGGTTAGTATGGATCATATCACACGACACGACAGGGGATGCACGGGGATGGGTGGACCGTGGAAGGGCAGTGGGGGAAGAGGGAGGAAGGGTAAGTTAAGGAGTGGCAGCATGGTTGACATAAGGTCGTGTAGTGCAGCTGCAACTAGGGGATTGCCCGCAAGGCGCGGTTCAAGTGGTTGGACTAAACCATCTCATTTCGCTGGCACAACCTCCACAATGCCAAATCAAATAAAAAAGGCGCCCAATCGAATTCTCAACAGTCACGCCAGCTCATCCATTGAAGTCGCAACTGATAAAAGCTGAACCCACCTACTCAATCACACCGGAATCACAGCCACTCACTCGTTGAAGTCGCGGTCGATGGCGGCCAGGCGGAAGGCGAGGGGGAAGTTGCGTGCGAGGGCGGGGCGGTTGAATGGCGCAATGCGCTGAAAGGCCGCGTCCACCCCGCCCATGCCCGACTCCAGAGCTTGCCAGAGAGCCAGGCGCTGGAGGGGAGAAGGGGCGGTGAGGGGGAGGGGGAGGGGGAGGGGGAGGGGGAGGGGGAGGGGGAGGGGTTAATTGGGAGCAAAAGAAAGTTGTCACGTGCGCCAGTGCTTCCCATCGCCACTTGCCCACCATGCCTGTCGCCAACGCCTGCCCGAGCGCCAGGCGCTGGGGGGAGAGGGGCGGTGAGGGGGAGGGGTTAGTCGAAACGAGAAATAGGAGCAGTTGTCCGTGCTGGCCCTTTCCAGCGCCACCCTGCCCCTGCTCGACTCCAACACCTGACACAGCGCCAGGCGCTGGGAAGGGGGGAGGGGGAGGAGGGGGGACGGGAGAAGAGGCGGGGCGGGTTGGCTGGAAGAAAGAGTGGAGTCGCACTTTATGCCGCAACGCGAAGCCACGCCACGCCACGCCACACCACGCCACGCCACGCCACGCCACGCCACGCCACGCCACGCCACGCGGTCAATCAGTGCCCGCCTCCAGCGCCTGCCGCAGTGCCACGCAATGGGGAGGAGGACAAGAAATCGTGGTGGCAGGTTGAATGGGCGGCGAAGGAAAGGAGAGGGTGGCGGTTCCAGTGCGCCCCCGTCACCACTTGGCCGGCCCATGCCCCGCTCCAACGCCTGCCACAGCGCCCTGCGCTAGGGGGAAGGAGGGGAGAAGGGGCGGGGCGAGTTGGGTGGAGTGGGAAGTGGAGCGGTTGCAGGGAGGATGAGAGGGGAAAGACGAGGGCTTGGCGAGTCGGTGGCGGGCGGCGGGGCACAAGCAATGCGAGGCGGCAAGGGGTATTGAGTAATAGATCATGCGATGGATAGCAGCGGAAGAGAGAGGCGCAGATCCACACATAGCGAAGCAGAAATAACGCTTGTGATGAAGGAGGAATGCTTGTGAACGAGGAGGGATGCTTGTACAAGGAATAGCATTGCCCGTAGAGCGAGGAAGGCAGGGGGGAAATGGATGGAGACGCAACTTCAGAAAGCACGCGAGGCATGCAGCCGACTCAGACTCTGGACGGGTGCGACTCAGACTCTGGACGGGTGCGACTCAGACTCTGGACGGGTGCGACTCAGACTCTGGACGGGTGCGACTCAGACTCTGGACGGGTGCGACTCAGACTCTGGACGGGTGCGACTCAGACTCTGGACGGGTGCGACTCAGACTCTGGACGGGTGCGACTCAGACTCTGGACGGGTGCGACTCAGACTCTGGACGGGTGCGACTCAGACTCTGGACGGGTGCGACTCAGACTCTGGACGGGTGCGACTCAGACTCTGGACGGGTGCGACTCAGACTCTGGACGGGTGCGACTCAGACTCTGGACGGGTGCGACTCAGACTCTGGACGGGTGCGACTCAGACTCTGGACGGGTGCGACTCAGACTCTGGACGGGTGCGACTCAGACTCTGGACGGGTGCGACTCAGACTCTGGACGGGTGCGACTCAGACTCTGGACGGGTGCGACTCAGACTCTGGACGGGTGCGACTCAGACTCTGGACGGGTGCGACTCAGACTCGGGACAAATGTGAGCAAAAGCCGTGCTTGAGGGGGCTAAGATGTGAGGGAGGGTGGAGTGGAGGGATGAATGCAGGGGGGAAGGGGGGAAGCGAGCCGCACGTCGGAGATCATGTCAGCGGCGGAGCGGAAGGAGCGGCCAGCCCTGTCCCGCCTCCACGTGCCCACCATGTGCCGCCTCCTCTCCGCCTCCCCTCCCCGCCTGCTCCCTTCCGCGTCCCCTCCCATCCCAACCTCAGCAGCAGCACCATCAGCAGCAGCAGCAGCTCTCGCACCTCCTGGCGCATCTTCACCCTCGTTATCCGCAGCAGCAGGCATGCCCCCCCCAGCAGGGGCAGGGGCGCGCAGCATGTGCCGTGTGGCTGCCTGGTCGCGCAGCATGAGGCGGGTGAGCGCTGAGAAGCGCTGCTGCAGCCGCGCCCGCCTCTCCTCCACTGTCTCCCGCCTCCTCGCCTCCACCCACTCCCCTCTCCCACCCACACCTGCTGCACCTCCCCCACCCACACCCTCCCCTGCAGCAGGCCCAACCGCACCTGCTGCCCCATCGCCTGGTAACACAGGATCGATATGTGCTGCAGCCATGCCACCTTGCTCAACCCCATCCTCGTTATTAGCAGCCCCATTACCACCTTCAGCCGCCACACGCACCAGGCCCGTTCCCTCCACCACCCTCTCCACCGCCTGCCTCGCACGCCGCTCCACCGCCTCCCGAGCCTCCCTCAGCCGCCTCTCCAGCGCTTCCCGAGCCTCCCGTGCCCGCCGGTCCACCGCCTCCCGTTCCTGGCGTGCCCGAGCCTCCACCAGCAGCTGTGCCGCCCGGGCCCGAGCCTCCACAACGTCCCGAGCCATCTGCGCCCTCTCCTCCACCATCCGCTGCAGCCGCCGCCGCCGCTCCCGCGCCTCCTCCTGCGCCAACCCCTGTGCCGCTGTTGTGGCTGCTGCTGCGTCAGCACCTGCTGCTTCTGAGCGGTGAACAGCGGTGAGGGCAGCTGACGCCAGGGCGGGGTGAACACCTGCTGCTGCTGCTGCTGCTGCTGCACGTGGTTCCACTGCTGGTGCTTCTTCTGCTGCCTCTGCGTCCCCAGCATCTGCCACTGCTGCGAGGCTCACAGACACACCCAAAGAATCCAACGGTGCTCTCAGCTGCTCTCCTTCGACCCCTTGCCCAACACCCTCGCCTTGTGCCCCATCACCCACCCATCCACCCGCCCCACCCTCCACTGCCCCCCCAGCTACCTCCCCGCTCGACTCATCAGCACCCCCTGCCCTCTCTGCTGCCCCCATCCCTTGCACGCTCCCCCACTCCCGCCACCTCCGCCACTCCTCCACTCCCCCTGCGCCCATCTCCCTCACACCCTCTCTCCACCGCAAACGCGCTGCTGCCAGCCCTCCTCCCTCCCCAACACCTCTCCCCTCCCCAGCACCGCTCCCCTCCCGCTCTCTTCTCCCTGGCACCTGCCAGCGGGCCGGATTCGTCGCCGGAGGGGAGAGGGAGGAGGGCAGGAGGAGGGGGCTCCAGTGCGGGGCGAGGGGCAGGTCCGCCGTGCTGTGAGGGGCAACGCCGTGGGGGTCATGCGCTGGCACGCCCTGGGGATTATGTGCTGACGTGGCAAGCGAGCCGTGTGCTTGCGTATCATGAGCGTCTGCAGCTGCCGCCCTCCCTGTTTGAAACAAGAACCCTCTCTCGCCGCTCTCCTCCCTCTCCTCTCCCCCTTCACCATCCCCACGCCCACCCCTACTGCCGATGCCTATCCCCTCATTCCGGCCAACATGGCGCCAGGCGTGCGGCAGCCTGTGGTGGGCAGAGAAGGATGGCAGCAGCACGGGCTGGGGCGAAGTGGAGGGCAGGGCGTGGGATGACGGAGGAGGTGCAGGTTGCGAGGGAGGTGCGGCATTGCGCTCACTGCCCTGCCCGCCTGCACCACTCCCCACAGCCTCAGGCCTGCTGTGCTCATCCCCATGCCCACGCCCACCCGCTCTCACTCCCCTTGCGTGATCTCTCCCACCTGCCACACCCACCAATCGCCTGCCACCGCTCACCCCATCACTCCTCCCAGCTCTTGCCTCCCAGTCGCCACTCGCCCTGCCCCTGCTCGCCCTGCTCGCCAGCCTCGCCTGCACCCTCGCCGCAGCCCTGGCCCTCGCATCCTCCCCACCGCGCGTTGCTCCCCCGTGCCATGACCTGCCATGCCGCGACCTGCCGTGCCCTGCCCGCGCCCCAGCAGCCTCAGGGGGCGCGCTGCTGCCGTCTGACTCTGCCATCTCCGCACTGCCCTGCCCCCTGCCGCCCCCCCTGCCCTCCCCTCTGCCCTCCCCAACCCCCTCGCCCTCAGCACCAACGCGAAGGTTCCCCTCCATTGCCCCTCCCTGCATGCCTTCCTGCCCTTCTCCCCCTCCCGCTGCTGACCTGCCCTGCCCATCCCCTGCCTCCTCGCCCCACTCCGCCACTCCGTGCCCCAACCGCCCTTCGCCCCTCCCACCACCAACCACGCCGCCAGCACCTGCTGCCGCCGCTGATGGCTCCACTGCCACTGCTGGCGCTCCTGCAGCTCCTGCCAGCGCCGCTTCCATGGGCGCAGCAGCGGCAGCAGCAGCTGAAGCTTGGCGCAGAGTGAAGGCTCCCTGGGAGGCCCGAGGCACCGGCTGCTGCAGCTGCTGCCAGGACTCGACCTGTGCTGCAGTGCCAGCCGGGTGAGGGCTGACGCCAAGCGGGGGTGCCACAGCATGTGTGGCGGGAAGGGAGGCGGCAGGGGGAGGAGTGGAGGAGGGCGGGATGGCGGGAGCGAGGGCGGCAGCCCTCGTGCTGCCCACACTGCCGGAGTTGCCACCTGAGTCGCCGGCAGGCCTGATGGCAGCAGAGCGCGATGAGGGGCGTAGCGGCAGTCTGAGGGACGGGGGAAGAGAAGAGGGTGTTGTGAACAAGGCGGGCGAACGAGAGAGAGAGAGTGTGCGGGGGTAGTGGGACGGAAGGGAGAGATTGTGAGTGGGGGGAAGTGAGATGAAGAGAAGGGGAGAGACAAAGAGAAGGGAAAGAGATTGTGCCACCGCAACCGTTGTCCCATGTTATTAAATTACAACATACATCGCCTAGGATCACTACGTGGTGGGGTAACTCGGAAGAAGACAAACTGCCGCCCACCTTGTACGTGCCGGTGCTTGCAGGCGGCCCTCCCCCACACGGGCGCGCATGCCCAGCGACCATGGTGAGTCCGCAGCCAAGCCCGCCGGCATGGCAGCGCTTGGAAGGGCCGTGGCAGCACGCCCACGAGGCTCAGAACGCACGGGGACAGCTGAGGGAGCAACAACAGCAGCAGGAGGAGCCGAAGCAGCAGGAGGAGCAGGAGAGAAGGAATGTGTGGTGGGAGGCGGGCGGGTGAGCAGTTGAGATGCGCGGGTGAATCCTCCCAGCTGTGCCATGCCCACAGACACAGCCGAGTCAGCAGGCGTGCCGAATGAAAACACACTGCCCGACCTCGCAATACTACCCCCCGCCCTTGCACCACGGCTGCCGGCAGCATTGCCAGGTGCATCCACCGCGCCCCACTCCCCCTGCCCCCTCGCGGGTCCTCCCACCAGGTGAGGACCGTGAGAGTAGGGCGATTGGGGAGGAGAGGGGAGATTGCGGAAGGAGGGCGAAGCAGGGGCAGCACGCTCTACTGGTGGAGAAGCCACCTCAGCCGCTGCGGCTGTGGAAACCACGTCTGTCGCCTCGTCCCTCTCCTGCCTCTCCTGCCACGCGCCCAGACTCACAGCACCCATCCCAGGCACGCCCCCACCCTCTCCTTCCCCTCCGCCAGCAGCAGCCCCCGTAGGCCGCCCCACAGCCCCGCCTCTCCCCCCCCCTGCCCCCACCTCCGCCCCCCCCACCCCTGCCGCTGCCTGCCCTCATCGGCGCGCCCCCCAGTGAACCATGCGCCTCCCGCAGTGGGGTGCAGCCCTCCCTGCCCTTCCCCCGGCACGCCTTCCACACGCAGCGGCAGGTGGCTGACGCGGCCCACATCCCCCGTGGTGAGGTCGAACTCAAACGCGTCGTCCATGTGGTTGACAGCATCCACGTCATCCACGGCATCCAACTCATCCGCCTCATGCCCTCCATCCACATCCTCCATATAAGCTTCCTCGCCTGCACCCCCTTCCAACAAGCCCATGCCCATCCCCAACCCACCATCCACCTCAACCATCTCAATCTCCTCATCTACCTCCTCATCCTCCTCCTCCTCTTCTCCCTCCACCTCCTCCTCCGCCTCCTCCTCCTCCCCTCTCCCCTCCTCCTGCCTAAGCGCCTCTCCTCTCTCTCCACCTGACCCTGCACCTCCTTCCGTCACCTCAACTGCCTCCACATTTGCCCCCTCACCGCGCCTCTCACATGGATCCTCGGGCGTTTGTTCAGGTGCTTGGTCAGGTGCAGGTGCAGTGGGCTGGGGTCTCAAAGGCTGTAGGCGGCGAGCAGGCTGGCTCTGCATGCGCGTGCATGGGGATGCGGTGGAAAGGGACGGTGGGTGCGAGGTCAGGCACGGAAGGAACGAGAACATGCAGCAGAGGAAGAAAGGCAAGACGGGGCATGTCACACGGCGAACATCACATGACGCCCTTCAATGCCCTGTAGCACAGGAGGAAGTGAGAAGGAGAGGGGGGAAGGGCGCACATCACATGGCCAGATGGCACGGGGGCAGGGCGAGGGGAGGCGGGCATGCAGCAGGTGAGCACGCACTGACCGGGAGGACGCCATCCACGCGCAGCAGCGCTCTGAACTCAGCCGCGTCCCGCAGCTCCTGCTGCACCTCCGCTGCACTCATGCCCGCCCCCATCCCATCCATGCCGCCCCCAGATACGCCTCCCCCAGCTGCACCCGCCCGCTGCTGCTGACTGCGCAGCGCTGCTGCTGCCGCCACTGTTTCCGCCACCGCCTCTCGCCTCAACCACCGCCCGTAGCTCCTTAGTGCTGACGTGGTCCGCCCTGCTGCTGCTGACGTGGCACGGTCTGCAGATGCGGCCATGCCTAGTCTTGCCAGGCGGGCGGCTTCCAAGGTCCGGCTGGATCCCGAGGGCATTGCAGCGGTGCTGGGGTGGCGCGCATGTGAGCCACCAGCACCACCAGAAGCGCCGCCAGCACCACCGCTGGCACTGCCGCCACCAGTAGTTCTGCCAGCGGGTTCTCGCCCCTCCCCCTCTTCCCCCCTCTCCCCTTCCGCCACCATCCCCTGCTCACCCATCCTCGGCTCGCCCCTTCCACCCTCGCCCCCCCCTCCTCCGCCCCCAGCCTGCCCGCGCCCTGCTGCCTCGCCAGTGTGCCCTGCAGGCGAGCGCTGTTCAGGCGGAGCAGGAGCCGGATCTTCTGCGTGCTGCGCGCTCTGCTCGCCCGGCCGCTGCCTGGGGTCATGCCTGGCTGGCTGGTGGCGGCGGCGGGGCTGTGCGCGGATGATGCGCGAGCGCAGGTGCTGCGTCTCCTCCGCCTGCAGCAGCATCGCCAGCTGGTAGTCCGTCGCCAGCCCACGGCCCTGGGGGAAGAAGGGGAGCAGGGAGACGGAAGCGGAGGGGCACGGGCACAAGAGAGCAAGCGGGCAGGGGAGGGATAAGTCTCCTCCGCCAGCAGCAGCACCGCCAGCTGGAAGTCTGTGGCCAGGCCGCGACCCTGAGGGGGGGGGGCAGCAGAGGGGAACGGAGAGACATGGGCGGAAGGGCTTGTAGATCCAGGGCGGATATTGCTGCCATGACTGGTGTAGCTGTGCGCACACGGGACGGCGTCATGGCGCACACGGTGAGACCGAGAGCACACAGTGAAGCACGACAGCACGAGCGCAGTCACACGGAGTTCACATGGCGTGCAAAGGGCACATGCGGACAAGGCAGTGCCCGCGGGTGGGGTGCCCTTACGAAGGGGATGGAGCTCTCCTCCTCGTACGCCCGCTGCAGCTCCCGCGCCAGCCGCTCGTCCTCCGCCAGCTGCGCCGCCCGCGCCACCTCCTCGTCCCCCCCCGCTCCCCCACCCCCCTCCCCTCCGCTCCCCCCGCCCTCCCCTCCGCTCCCCCCGCCCTCCCCTCCGCTCCCCCCCCCTGTCTCCGCCCGTGCACTGGCACCCGCTTGCACTTGCACGCGAGCAGGCTGGGCGGGTTGGGGAGCAGCGCCAGGGGTGCTGGCATCTGGCTTCGTGTCAACCGCTGGAGCGACAGCCCCTTGAGAAGGACACGCTGTGCCGTGCGCAGCAGCAGCGCCAGTGACGCCAACCGCAGCAGCAGCAGCAGCAGCAGTGGAGGCAACAGTGGAAGCAGCAGCAGAGCCACTGCTGGCAGCGGCAGCAGCGTCACCAGCGGTCCCAGACATATGCCCAGCAGCGGTAGCCGTAGCGGTGGCAGGGCGGGGAGCAGCACCAGCAACAGGCGCGGAGGCGACGGCAGCCGAGCCACTACGGGCCACGGGACGGGCGCCAGAGCCCCCCGCGGCATGAGCGGCAGAGCCTCCTCCTTCCGCCGCCAGCCCGGCGCGCTCGTCGCACCCGGCAGTACCCGCCTGCGACGGAGCCGAGCCATAGCCGCCGCCGCTGCCCACGCCGACACTCGCCATGCTCGTCTCGCCTCTCACTCGCTTGCTCCGGCCGTCGCGGCACGCGCTCGGACCGCTCTCTGCCGGCCTTGAGCCTGCCGGCCTTGAGCCTATCGCCATGTCAGCCGTGGAGCCCGACGCTACGGGCAGCTCTGGTGCTCGCACACTCGCACACACTACCGTATGACCGCGAGCGACGTCGCCATGCATCTGGTTACCCGTCGCAGCTGCTGTGGAGAGGGACGCAGCGTCGCATGCACTAGTCTCGCCTCTTGCTTCACCGCGAGTATCGCAGGATCCGGAGCGGGCTCGCTTCACGCCTCTCGCCGCCGCCTCGTCCATCGGACGCCCTCCCTGCCCCCCCGTGTCGACCTCCTCCCCCTCCTACGCGAATCCCCTCCCTCCTCGCCTTACTCCGTTCGACCTTCCTCCTCCGCCGACGCCTCTCGGGCTGGCTACACGCCTATTCGCTCAAGCTCCAAGCAGTCGAAAAGCGCGGTGATCTCATGGGAAGACCGAAGAACTAAGTAACCGGCCTTCACGGCCTAAAACTACTAGCGAAGGCAAAGTTAGACTGCACTCCTGGACTGGTATGGCATTACTGTACTTGGAAAGAAACTGAGTTGGGGGGAAACCCTCAGCAACTCGGGATGGTGGATGGATGGCATGACGTGGATGTCGAAAATGATCGCGTGGTGTCATATCGTTCATCTCGTGTTCGGGAAATGATCTGCTCACGACACCCAGGTATTGCCGCGGTTCGATCCTGGGTCTAGATACTGTAGTGCGTCTGATTGCGGTGCAGTAACTTGCTTTGCGTTTCACAGAATAGTTTGGCAGGGTAGGGCGAAACACATTATTTGGACACGCACTGATCCCAGGACGGGCTCTTGCTTGCTGCATCCGAACAGCAGCCGTTCGTTTTCGATAGCAGAAGTCGAGCCTGGCGAAACTACTGCGGGCAAAACTGTTTTCACTTCAAACTGGGATGCCTTTTTGAGGCTTGTTGCAGCAAAAATCCTTCATGAATTTTCCGGTGTACCATGCTTACATACACCTCAACATGGAAGCCCTTAACAAATTCTAGGACACACACCTAGCGTCACACAACATTATGAAACAAGGTCATAACGATACTTACCATCGTCTTTACCATCGTGGTCTGGTGTCCAGGAAAGTTTGGTTGTAGCTCTTCACACCCAAATCTATAAGGAGAACACACACTAGTGTTAAAAAGCTAAGGAGCTAGCTAGGCATAGGAATGTCGAGAGGTTTTAGCTAGGGAGAAAACTGTCGTGGCACTGGGATAACCCTGTCGATCCTCTCTCTCTCTCTAGGGAGGGTATTGGGGAGGCTTTCCCTGGGGAAGGTGGATGCATGGAGCATAACCAGGGCCTCAGATATCAGGATGTTTTATCCTGAATTCTTGATTTTCAAGATGCCTGTTAGGTGCCAAACCTGAAAAATATGTTTAAGGTCATTTTTCACCCTGTGAATTCAGTTTTAAATCGTAGTGCAACCCTGAGGATTCAGTAAAGTGTTCGTTTACCAGCCTTGAGCTGTCAGTATGCCTTCGGGAACAACCTTGATTCCTCGAATCTTGAATGCACGTGCGCCACTAGGGTAGCCCTTGCCTCAAATTTTACATTTCGGCTAAGTCCTCAAAGGTAGCAATTGTCAAACATGTCTATGTGTTATGTTTGTATAGACTGCACTGCACCGCACTGGACTGTTCCTGATGGCGGCGGAGCTTCGCTTCGACGCTGAAGGTCAGCCCCTAGAGTTCGAGGCGTGGCTTGCCGACCTCCGCCGCCAACTCACTGGCCAGCGGCAGGATGGTGAACCGCTTTCCGCACACCTTGACGGTACGCTCCCCTGCCCAGACCCTCCTGCTATTCTGCCCGCTGACCCCACACCCACTGAGCGTGAGTCTACTGCTGCCACTGCCCGTGCGCGCTCTGTCTGGCTTTCTCGCGATGCTGTCGCCCAGCTTGCCATTAGCAACGCTCTCCCCCCGTCCGAGCGTCCTCGCTTTAGGTCCCTCACTACTGCTCAGGCATACTTAGATGCTGTCATCAAGCGCTATTCCACCCCTCCGGCTGCCTCGGTGGGTCGCCTGATCCTCCCGCTGCTCTTTCCTGACCTTGCTTCGTTCCCCACTGTCTCTGACCTCGCTGCCCACCTGCGCTCGATAGAGGAGACCTGGCGCGCCGCCTGCACTGACGCACAGCTTAGCGCCCACCAGCCGCCCATTACCTCTACCCTCTACCTGCTTGCCACCCGCCTCCCTGACCGCCTTGCTGTCGCCCGCGACCGCTTCCTTAGTGTTCACCCCGCAGACCTCACCCTCACTGACTTTGTCGACACCCTGACTGTGATAGAGACCCGTCACCGCTCCATCGCCCAGGCGAGCGGTGTCGTGCCGGTCCCTATCTTTCAGGGTTCTGCCCCCGCTCAGTGCACCTTCTCCGACGGCTCTGCCGCAGTGGCTGAGACTGTTGCTGCAGCGCAGGCCCGTTCTGGGAAGGGCCGCCGCCCCAAGGCTGGGCGCGGCGGAGGGGACGGCGGGGGTGCGGGCGGGGGTAGTGGTGGGGTCGGGTCGCCTGGTGCTGGAGCGGACGAGGGGACCCTGCCCAGTTCAGCTGAGTCGCCGCCCCTGCAGTTGCAGCAGCCGCAGCAGCCGCCGCAGTCGCAGCCTTCGCAGCAGCCGCAGCAGCCGTTGCAGACGCGGCAGACGAGTGTCCTCCCGCCAGGGTGGCCCGGCGCTGCGGTGGACGGGCGCGTGGTGGTGTGCCGCGTGGTGGCTCTGCCGGCGGGCGTTGTCAGTACCAGATCCAGACCGGTCCTCGCCGCGGCTTCGTTTGCGGTAAGATCGGTCACTCCACTCCCCGCTGCTTTCGTCGCCTGGACGACCTCTTTCGTCAGCGTTTCGGCCCGTCGCCAGACCTCCCGGACTGGCACAGTTTGCTTAGTCGTCAGATTCAGATATTTGATATGGACATGGATGCCATTGTTTCTGCTCTGCATGTGATGTATGCTGATGACTCTAGTGTGCTTCCGACTTATTACTCACTGTTGCCTAGTGTAGGTGTGCCTAGCTTAGCCTCCCCTGCTGCGTCAGGCGTAGGATCCCCTGCTTTGTGTAGTCTTGGTGCTTCTGCCGTCGTTCCGTCGCCAGACCCCTCGGCTTCGCTTTCCTTCACCTTGGACTCTGGCGCCTCTCGGTGTTTCTTCCGCGACTCCACCACCCTGACGCCGCTTCCTGTTCCTGCTGCTGTTTCTCTTGCTGACCCCTCCGGCGGTCCGGTAGTCGCCCGCAGTTCCACCACCCTTCCCTGTCCGGCGGTTCCTTCGGGCTCTCTTACAGGTCTGCATATCCCCTCGTTCTCCAGGAACCTAGTTGGTGTCGGCTGCCTCCAGGACCTTGGCGTCACCACTACGTTCCCTGGTCACAAGCGGTATGCTATCTGTACTGAGGCCGCCATTGGTGCCCCCCTGTCCACGTTCCCCCGGGACCCGGTGTCTGGCCTGTTCACTCTGGACACCGTGCCCCCCCCGGCTGGAGCGCCCCCTCAGGTGGCTGTGTCTACCCAGGTTGCTGCTGCCTGCTCCTGTCGCTCCCTCACTCACCCGACCCTCCTGTGGCACCACCGCCTAGGTCACCCTGCGCTCCCGCGTCTGCGTCACATGTCCCAGCACGGTCTTGTCCTTGGTCTCCCAGGTTCCCTCCCCGCGTTTCCCTCCTCCCCAGCTCCACCTTGCACGCCTTGTGTCGAGGGTCGGCTTCGCCGTGCCCCTCACTCCTCCTCGTTCCCCCCTACCGCCGCGCCGCTGCAGACCCTGCACCTGGACGTCTGGGGCCCCGCCCCTGTCCCTGGGCCACGTCGCGAGCGCTACTTCCTTGTGCTTGTCCACGACTTCACTTGTTACACCACAGTCTTTCCCCTGGAGCGCAAGGCCGACGTGCCTGGCGCCCTCATCCCCTGGCTTGTCTCTGCGCGTGTCCACCGCGGTCTCCCTGTCTTGCGTCTTCACTCAGACCGTGGTGGCAAGTTTGCCTCAGGTGTCCTTGGTCGCTTTTGTCGTGCGGAGGGCATCACCCAGACGTTCACCCTACCGGACTCCCCACAGCAGAATGGGGTCGCTGAGCGACGCATCGGTTTGGTCATTGAGGTCGCTCGCACCTCCATGGTCCATGCCGGCGCACCCCATTTTCTGTGGCCGTTCGCTGTGCGCTACGCTTCTCACCAGCTTAACCTGTGGCCGCACCCTCAGCAGCCGCAGGTTTCGCCGACCCGTCTGTGGACCGGGTCTCCTGGTGACGCGTCTGCGTTCCACGTCTGGGGCTGCCTTGCTCACGTCCGTGCCTCCGGCACGGACAAGCTCACTGCCCGCACCCTTCCCTGCGTCTTCCTCGGTTTTCCCCTTGACGCGTCCGACTGGCACTTTTACCACCCGCCGTCTCACCGCTTCTTTCACTCTCGTGACGTCACTTTTGACGAGTCCGTCTCCTACTACCGCCGCTTCCCCCACCGTGGTCCCCCGGTTACCTCCCCGACCGTCTCCTCCTCTTCCTGTCTACGGCCCTGTTTTCCCTCCGCCGGACTCGTCCCCGGCCCGTCTCCCCCCTCATTCCCCTCCTGTGTCCCCTCCCCTGTCTCCTGACCCGACTCCTCCCTCGCACGTCTGGTCTCACCGTCCCTCCCGTGCTCGTCCTGCCTCGCCTGTCCTGCGCTCCCACCCTATGTTGCTTCGTTCACACGCGTCTCGTCCTCCCCTTCTGCCGTCGCCTCCTCCGTCCTCCCTTGTTGTTGCGCCCCCCCCGCTGTTTGACTACCTTCGTGCCGCTCGTCCTCTCATTCCTCGGGTCCTTGCCTCTCTCGTTACCGACCCGTCTGTTCCAGTCTCGTGCCTTGACGCTCTTGTCGCTGCTGTCGCTGACTTCGCCTCTACCCGCCGCCTTGACTACGCCACCGCTCTGGTCTCTGACCCTGCCTGTCCTCCGTCTGTCGGGGGTGCTCCTGCCCTTGGCAGTGACGTCCTGGAGGACCACCAGTTCGAGCTTGCTTTCCTCTCCGAGGCCGCTCCCCATCTCTATTCCATGCTGCTAGTCCCTGAGGGTGACCCAGACGCTTTCTACATCCCGACCCCTCGCACTTACGCTGAGGCGACTTCGGGACCCTGGGCCTCGCAGTGGATAGCTGCCATGGAGCAGGAGATGGCATCTTGGAGATCCACCGGCACCTTCGTCGACGCAGTTCCCCCACCTGGGGTGAACGTAGTCGATGGCCGCTGGCTCTTCAAGGTGAAGCGCCCTCCTGGAGAGCCGCCTGTCTTCAAGGCGCGCTATGTGGCTAGAGGCTTCAGTCAGCGGGAGGGGGTGGACTTCTTCCAGACTTTCGCTCCGACCCCGAAGATGACTACTCTTCGGGTTCTGTTACACCTAGCTGCTCAGCGTGACTACGAGCTTCACTCCCTCGACTTCTCCACTGCCTTCCTTCAGGGCAGCCTACACGAGCAGGTCTACCTGCGCCGCCCTCCGGGCTCTACTGGCACCTTCCCTCCTGGGACCCAGTGGCTCC